GGACAGTTAAGAAGATTTGCATAACCAATTATAATTAAATTCACCTTGTATTCCATAGTGGACTTGTTATAAAATGAATGTATTTGTTGATAAAAAATGTTTGATAATAGAGCAAGTGCTGTTTATTGTTCTTTGTTGAGATCATAATGTCTGATTTTTGTAGGTTTTTTAAATTGTCAGCATCACTTACACATCCACAATTTCACTTACCCTCTCCCCAACCTAGTGAAATAGGTGTTTCTCCTATTTTGTAGTTAAGCAAACTGAGATCCAAGAATATAAAGTAATCTTTAGCCACTGAAGCTCATAATATGAGTAAAGACAAAGCTGATATTTAAACCCAGGCTGTCCAGCTTTTGACTGGTTCTCTTCCATTGTACTCCAGCTGCCTTACAATTTGAGCACAGAGATGAAGGAAAAGTAATACGAATCTTCAGTACATTACACTCATATTTAGAAAAATTAGGAAAGGGAAGAAAGCTTTTATATCCCTGCCTACCTCCTTTCCAGGAAAATAAGTGAATATCTATTATTGAGATCAATAACTTGGCAGATGTGAGTGACTTAAAATATTAGAAATTTGGCTGATTTTTAAAAAAATTATAGCATTTTATGAATGGCATCCTGAATGCCTGAAAAGACCCACAGGTGTATTTTTGTGGACCATACAGATGTAAGTGTGAATTTTAAAGCTTTTAGATGGTACTCAAAATGGTCAATTCTTTCCAGCCTCCATCGCTCCCTATATACCTGTTCACATTTAGGTACCTGCTTGACCTGTGGAGGTCCTGGCCATTATCATACCTGAATTAGTTACTGTAATTGTTTTTCTCTGAAGGGGTTTCACTCTTTACTATTATTCTATTTTCCCCTTACATTTTAGACTTCTCCCAAGAAAAATAAATGAAAGAAGGGGAATGGAGAATGTTAGGAATAAAGACTGAAATTCTCTATAGTGTGGCTAAAAAAAGTCCTCACAAAGAAGGTGACATTTGATTCAAGACATTCAAAGGAAGAAAGCATGAAAATTTTGAGGGAAGAGTGCTCCAAGCAGAGGGAGCAACAAGTACAAAGGCCCTGTGGTTAGAACGTGATTGGCATGCTTGAAGGACAGCAGATCTGCTTAGGTGGCTGGAGTGGAGTGAGAGACACAGTCATGGGAGAACAGGGTTAGAAAAGTTAGGAAGGGGAAGAGGACATTGAGTAGGGTCCTAGACATCCCTAAACAACTTGGCTTTCCCTCTGAGGAAGATGAAAAACCATTAGAGAGTATTGAGAACATGAGTGGCATGGTTCACTCATGTTTTCAAAGAATCACTCCAGATGCTATGTTGGTAGTGGCCCTTGCCTGCATGAAGACTGAATCAGGGAGATGATATAAGAGACTGTTTCAATAACCTAGATGAGAAAGAATAGCAGCTTGGATCAGGGTGATAGCCATGGAGGTGGTAAGAAGTAGTCAGATTCTGGACACAATTTGAAGGTAAAAGCAGAAGTTACTGACAGGTTCAATGTGGGTATGAATAGAGAACAGTCAAGGTTTTTGGTCTGAGCACTTGGGAAAATAAAGATGCAATCTACAAAATATTGCAGCCTGGAAATGTGAGATTTCCCTTGTCTTCTGGCTATAGGAGAGGGATATAGGAAGCAGAAGATAGAGAAAGGGTTGCAAATTAGGGCATTTGAGGAGAATAATCATATATATATATACATACATACACATACATACATATATATATAAAATACAAATATATATAACTTATACATAATATATACGATACAGTAATACATAACAACATATATAATTATATTATACATTGATATATATTTACATATTATAGTACTATATATTTGTATTCTATTTTTTATATGTTACATATATAATGCTTTTAGATAAGAACAAAGAGCATGGGCAATCTGTGTAACCAAAGAAGCAAAGAAAAGTAGCAAATGGGGCTAGAAGTGGTAGCAGAGCAGTGAGACCTTCACATAGGATTCATGACTTTCACAGCTTTTCTAAGGGGGTGAGAAACATGAGCCCCCTGTTAGGGATAGGGTGCACCTGCATTTGTAAGTATTAAGCACTCCAAAAAAACCATACTATTTTCATCCTTCCCTACCCTGTATTTTCTCCCTTTAGACATTTTATGGTGGTAGACAACTTATGGCTTTGTTTTTAGGCAGATTTTTCACTGCTGTGACTAAAAGATCTGACCAGAACAATTTTAGGAGGAAAAATTTATTTGAGGGCTTGCAGAATCAAAAGTCTTACATAGACAGCCAACTCCATTCCTCAGGGCTCATGGCAGAAGACTGTGGCAGAGGAAAGCAGAGAGATACCTCACTCTCCAGATACAAAATATGTACCCCATAGCCATGCCCTCAATGAACCAATTCTTCCAGCAACTCCCCACCTGCCTCCAGCTACCCTCGGTTAATCCCATCAGGGATGAATTTACTGATTAGGTTAAGGCTATAACCCAATCATTTCTCCTCCAAATCTTCTTGCATTGTCTTACATGTGAATTCTGGGGGATACCACATCTAAACCAATACAGGCTTACATTTATTTTTTTTCTTTTTGTGGCACTTTGATTAACTCAGAGGCACTCTATCACTGAGCTACACCCTTAGATCTTTAAATTTTTAAAAAAATTTTGTTCTGAGATGAGATTGCCCAAGGTTGATAAATTGCTTAGACTGCCATTGAACTTGTGATCCTTCTGTCTCAGGCTCCTGAGTTGCTAGGATTACAGGTGTGTGCCACCACACCCTACTTATTTTTTGTTTTTATTGAGATGAAGTTCACACAACACAAAATAACCATTTTGAAGTGAACAATTTGGTGGCATTTAAGACATTCATAGTGTTGGCAACTAACACCTCCAACTAGCTTCAAAACATCTTCATAATCTCTAAGGAAAATCCTGTGTTTCCATCAGTCATTGCTCATTTCTCTCTTTTCCAGTCCCTGGTTACTACCCTTACAAAGCACTTTATGTCTGTGGATTTACCTGTAGTGGATATCTCATAGGAATGGAATCATACATTATGTGACATTTTTGTGTCTGGCCTCTTTCACTTTTTTAAATATTTATTTTTTAGATATAGGTGGATACAATATCTTTATTTTTATATTTATGTGTTGCTAAGGATAGAACCCGGTGCCTCATACATGCTAGGCAAGCACTCTACCTCTGAGCCACAACTCCAGACCGATTTTGTTGTTTTTTATGGCTGAATAATTATATTTTATTATATGGATATGCCACATGTTGTTTGTGTATTTATCTGCTGATGGACATTTGGATTGTTATCATCTTTTGACTATTGGAACAGCATTGCTGTGAACATTACATACAAGCTTTGAATTCCTGTTTTCAATTCTATTGTTGAGTTGTATGATAATTCTATATTTGACTTTTTGAGGAACCACCAAACTTTCCACAATCATTTTATATTTCTCCTAGCAATGTACAGAGTTCTAAATTCTCAACATCCTCACCAACATTATTGCCATAAAAACAAGCATCAAGTGGTATCTCATTTTGGTTTTGATTTGCATTCCCTGAATGATTCCCTAATGATTTGTGATGTTGAACGTCTTTTTGTGTGTTTCTTGTCACTGGTAGATGGTTTATACTTTTCATGGTATTTTTTATTTGGACTATTCAGTGATCTTAGACCAGAGCTATCAGGATTGACTTTTGAAACATAAAAGCAGTAATGCACTCTTGTACATTTTGAAGAGAGAAATTGTGAAACATATGCTGGATTACAGTTACCTAATGCAGCTGGCTGCCAATTTGGTGTCGTATTGTAGATACATCCTGGGAAAAACTGCTTTGATGCTGTCCTCATTTTCCATTGAGAAGCCAAAACTCAAAATTGGGAGGCTAGTCTTTACACCCAAGAGTAGGTAGTTGAATTTTCCATCTGTAAAAGAAGACATTGAAAAACATCTTTCCCCAGTAAATTTTCAGAGAAATCCATGCCCTTTGACCAAGCAATCTGCCTTCTAAACATTTGTTTATTGAAAATTAACTGAAACAAAAGGGATAAGAAGCTTTATATGTGAAGACGTCTTTTAGAACATTGTTTTTACAACTGTAAATTGATCTAAGAGTTCACCAATGGATGGCTAACTTATTATATTAACTAAACAGGAAATTTGGCCTTCTTTATAAGTTATACCAATGAGAACATACAAAATGTTTAAGTTAAAATGTTAAATGAAGAAGCAATATATTTGTTTGTGGACATAGTATGATTGCAATTATAGTATTCCTTACCTAAAATTCTTGGGAGCAGAAATATTTCAGAATTTTCCAGAATTTGGAATATTTTCATAGACTTTACTGATTATCTCTAACTTGAAAAATTTGAAATCCAAAATTTTTTTGAGCATTGACACACTCAAAATGTTTTGGGATTTCAGATTTTAGATGTTTGGATTAAAGGTGCTCAACTAGATCCACAAAATTGTGCCTAGAAGGAAGACTAGAAAACAATACATCAGAATGATAAAGAAATTATAGTTTTTCTATGGTATGGTATGGTATGGTATGGTATGCTATGCTATGCTATGCTATGCTATGATATGCTATAGTATGATGTGGTACAACATAGTTTTATATAGCTTATTGGTTGACAGTTTTGACTTCCAAAAGACATCATTCATAACATAGTAATGAATTATTGTAATTTTTATTTTTATAAACATGACCACAGTTGGAGGTTTGCAGACCAGAATCACACACCTAAATGTTGTACATGTTTCCAACCATTTGAAAAGTGTTGGTTATTTTGGTTTAGTGTGTTGACCTTAGAATTTACTCTGCAGAGAATGTCACTAACAGGACTTTGTTTAAAGTCAGTATGTCATAGGATAATTTCATGGATCCCTTAAATTCCATCCATTGTTTTGTATGTACCCACAGGTTTTTGTGGGAAAAGAAAATCTGGACTTTAAAATAAAGGGAAAAAATGTCTCTTTGCAGGTGTTCCATTGCCTAAAGAGGACATTTCTGCTCCCCTGATCTCCAGCTCGCCAGTAAAGGAAGCTCGAGAGTATGAAGATCCCCCAAGTGAAGAAGAAGATAAAATAAAAGAAGAGCCCTTGACCATCTCTGAACTAGCATACAACCCAAGTGCCAGCCTGCTCCCCACCCCTGTTGATGATGATGAGATTGACATGCTTTTTGACTGTCCATCTAGGCTTGAGTTGGAAAGAGAAGATACAGATTCATTTGAGGAACTGGAAGCAGATGAAAATGCCTTTTTGGTTGCTGAAGAAGAGGAGCTGAAGGAGGCTCGTCGAGCTTTGTCATGGAGTTATGACATTCTGACCGGCCATATTCGGGTGAACCCACTGGTCAAGAGTTTTTCCAGGCTCCTTGTGGTGGGCCTGGGACTGCTGCTCTTTGTATTTCCCCTGCTCCTCCTCCTTTTGGAGTCAGGTATTGATCTCTCCTTCTTATGTGAAATCCGCCAGACACCAGAGTTTGAGCAGTTTCACTATGAATACTACTGTCCCCTCAAAGAGTGGGTGGCTGGGAAGGTCAACCTCATTCTCTACATGCTGGGTTGCTCATGAGGTTAATATCTTATAAAACTAAGGGCTATATTCAATACTAGTGATTTTTTTTTAGTAGATGCCTGGTTCTGAATGGACATGGGGTTGCCAACAGATGTTCCTTTCTCATAATTGATCACTCAAACCCTCCATTAGCTTTTCATAATTAAATGCACTTAAATCAAAGATAGATGTTTTACTTATGGGTCAGGAAGATGACCTTTACATAACCAAAATATGTTTATTTTAAGTGTAGACAACTATTATAACATAATGCATAATACATTGGACTGAATAGATTTCCCTGTTTTTAATAGTTGGCACCATCACAGCTATAAGGTTCAGAATCAGAATTTTAGTACAAACCTAAGGGAAAGTTTTTGAATATAATCCTTAGTGGAAAATGATGTCCTCTAACCAATGCCTATACAACTAAATTTATGCTGGGCTTTCTGTTTTGTTTTTTTTAAAACTATTTTTATGTGTTCAAACTATTTTGGTAAATTTTTAGCAAAAAAAAAAAAGCCTCCTGGAGTTATTTAAGTATACCGACTGTAAGACTAACAATGCACAAAGGTATATTGGGAATTTTTTAATGTTTTGGCAACAGTTTGTTTTTTAAAATATTTTTGGCTGAACAAGTCTATAATTTGTTATTACTTGCATATGGGATAGAAAATGGGTAGAAAGACAATTTAGTAAGTAAGCTCCCCAAACAGATGATGGGAATGGAGGATGTAGAAACTGAGAACATTGAGTTGACACAGGGAAGTCCATTTTTCAAAGTTTTGGACAAGATGACTTGGTACTTTTGTCTGCATTCTGTCCATATATTTGGGCTAGGGAAGCAGAATGCTTTTAAAAGATAGTAAAATTTTAAAGGAAAAATGGTAAAAGATATACCAGTTGATTGTTTATTGTATATTAAAACAAGAGTGAGTGGATACAGATAGAAATTGAACTAATGGAAAGTAGTGAAGAAGAGTTCTGGTGAGGCTGTAGGCAGGTGGTGGAAGGCAAAGGGTGTCTTTCATGAAAGGGATGGTGACAAGAGGCATTCAATGATGTAAAGTGCACTCGCTGTCCAGTTGACATAAACATGTTTAAGTGGATCTAAATAAAAGTGGAGAAACTTTAAGGTAAATTTTTTGGTCCCTCATGCCATTCATTGTGATTCTGTGGAAGAAACTTCAAAAGTGTGTGTGTGTGTGTGTGTGTGTGTGTGDGWGAGAGAGAGAGAGAGAGAGAGAGAGAGAGAGAGAGAGAGAGAGAGAGAGGAAGGATGAGTGGCTTTTTGATAAATACCAAGATTTATTCTTTATGGTGGGTAATATTCTTCTTTCCTTGCATGGTTTCCTTAAAAACTTATTCATCATTGGGCTTCCATTGGGAAAATGAGAGTGCTCATCAGATGACAAATCAGTTCAGCCTGGGTAGAGAATAAGATAACAGACAAATCCTGTTGTACCTTCCTCCACACCATTAAATCCATGATAGAAAGGGTCTGATGCTTTCCCATGCAGAGTACTTACCAACATTTGGTATGAGTGAGAAAGGGTCTGAGGTTTACAGCACAGAGTGCAGGATTTCTTATAAAGAAATGGGGCCCACCTATAATATCTCCCTAATGACCCTCCAATGCCACCATTAGCATAATTTCCAAATTGGGCATTCCAGTCAATGGGCAACTCAGTCAATGGAGCTGTTAGTTCTTTATTAGATATTTAATTTTGAAAGTAAATGTTGAAAGTCAGTTCATGAGGCCTCTGTTGAACACATTATAATATATATACTTGCTATTATATTTGCAGGCTTTTCTTCTTGTGGACTTTCAGTGATTTATACTAATATAGAAGTATATTTTCTTTGATTGGAACCTACAATAATTTATTTTGGACATTTGCATGTAGTCAGCTTGGAAATTGAAGTTTTAATATGTTCTATTCTTTTTTGACATAAGGGTACTCCAGTGTAGTCTATACAAATCTAGTCCCCTTTCTATCATTTTCTTTGAAATTAAAACCAAGACAAATTATCTAGCCCTCAATTTAAAAAAAATAATATTAAATAATATATTTAAATTATGGAAGTGCTATATTTTTTCATCATAAAATATTTGAAAAATACGCAGGATAATTATCACATGTCATCCAACCATGAGATACATATGCCATTTCCAGTTAGCATCTCTTTTCTCTTAGGCAGATACTTCTTTGTTTATTGAAGATATTTTCAGGTTACAGAGTTGACAGAATAGGATCTACTTGATTTAAATAATAGCCATCCAAAGTAAAATTGGATTCTGGTTTAAAATCAGAGCCTTTTAAAAATACCCACTTAAGTTGTGTTAGTCACCACTTGCCTGCATCAAATGTGGAGACTGCTTTGAAAAGGAGATGGTATAAGTAGTAGTAAGACACAGAGTTCAAAGCATGTGTGTGAGTATATGTATATTCCATATTATCGGTATATGTGTTTACATATAAATTTGTATATATGTATTTGTATAGACACAACCAATATGCCTTTCATACATAGTTATGCTTATTTTGCCCCAGTTGAAGAATTTGTGACATGTTGTTGTTCCTTTCCCTCTCAGATATCATGGTGGGTAAAAACCACAGCTTCAAAGATTTGAATTTTTCATAAAGACTGCTGTGTGTACCTTTGTGGATTTGTACACACAGGAATGCATATGGCAAATACATATACACACACAACCTTGTCTTTAGTGCTAATGCAAGTGGGATTATGAAAATAATGTAGGTAAAGTATCATGTATTTCTATCTGTGCTTGGACCATATTGTAAAATGTTATGTATTTGGAGTATTACTTGTGGTTTGTCTGATATTTTAAAATATAACTCTGGGGAAAATTCAAAACACAATTGATTTTATTGAAATACTAGAGAGATGGGGGTCATGGTACTGTGATGGAGCCTTACCTTTGTATAGTGAAATCTGCATTTCTCTGTCAACATCCAGATTGTTTTATATGTTAATATGGTGGCAGGAATCCCTAATAAAAATACTCTGGGGTAAAATAATTTTTTTTGCAATCATTCAGTTTTATTTAAAGTACAGTTGTGTAGTCATCTTAATGGAAACTATAGAAGGTTTCCCTTTAGGAACATAAATTGAGTCACCTTTCAATGGTGATAATATGAAAAGAATCACAGGTAGTAGATGAGATTAACTCTCTGCAGAAGTCACCCAGGCCCAAAGCAGGAATATTAGACCTGGATATATGCTCAAATATTAAAGAAAAATATGGTGTAATATAGTTCAGTGGTAAAGTCTCCCTGGATTCAATCCCCAGTGCCTCCAAAATATATTAGTAATAGTATTAATTAGAGAGCTGAGCATGGTGGTGCATACCTGTGATCCTACCTACTCTGGAGGCTGAAACAAAATGATGGCAAGTTCAAGACCAGCCTTAGCAACCTAGTAAGACTCTATCTCAAAATAAGAAATAAAAAGAGTTGAAGATGTAGTTTAGAAGGAGAGCACTTGCCTAGCATGCCCCAGGCCCTGGGTTCAAACCAAGTACTGAAAATTAAAAAAGCACAAAACACTAGAGAAATAGAAAAGAATAAACAAAATTAGGAGGAAAAATTAAGAAATCAAGTCCTCCTTACTTGCCAGGAAAGGCAGCCAGCAAGAGTTGCTTTAGACTCTCAACTCTGTGACACTTGCCTTTAGATCTCTCTTTCTGTCAAAGCCATAGAGGAATCAGCTATTCCATGTCCATCCTCCCCTCCATACAAACTAACCTTGCCAGGTCTTCTTCTGAGGATTGGCCCAATGATTACAACTCCATACTTGAACATTAAATCAGAAGGTGTTACTTTGAATGAAAAGAGGAGCTTACAGAAAGAAAACCTGTCAAGGGGAATTGGCCCCTAGCTGTGGTGGCCTTTTAAGTCTGTCAGGTTCTTACTCAGCAACCTTCAGAAGGATGGGAGTAGAAGGGAGAAAAGGAATTCGGTGGTTAGTGCCCAGGGGTGAGGTGACCTATGTACCTGCGGTCCTGGCTCCAGCCAGTGCTTTTGTTTGGGTTATTCTCTGATGACCCAAAAGACTAACAAAAAATGACCTTTGGCCACTTATTCAACCTCACCTCTGAGTGAAATCTCCTAAATCCCCACATTTTCTGCTGAGTCAAACAGAGGAAGGATCATCCACCAACAAGCCCAACATGGAGAAAAGTACTGGGGAGAGGCTTCCATCTTTGGGACGATTTCTGGGATGATTGTGACTGATGGGATTTGGGTCTCTTTTGGCCTTCTTTCTCTACTGGGTGGAGATAATGTGCTAAAGGTCCCTGCTTACTTGTCCTCCTGCTTCTTCTCTCTCTTTCTCTCTATCTTGGACCTGATTTTGGGCTTCCAGTCTCCGTGCCATAAACAGACCCAGCAGGACCTGTTCGTGGTAGGCCCAGCCAGGATCGGCTCTCCATGTTCCAGCCTCGGTCTGTGACTGGGTGGGTAAGTTTGGTGGGCCTACCCAGTGGGCTCAGCTGTCATCACTCTGGAGAGGAAGAAAGGAACCTCAGATCCCAGCTGTGATCTCCAATCCATTTCCAATCCATTAATAAAGCCGACTTTAACCTTCTTCTGGCCATTGTATCTTTTATCTATGGAACTAGATAGTGGTGGGTAGGATGGTGGTTAATATTTAGAATCTCCAACCTACAATATTACAGACAAGAAAGGAGTGGAGAAGTTTGCTCCCTGTTGAGGAAATGTCTGCTACAAACATCAGGGAATGTCTGCTACAAACATGGGCCTTGCCAATGGAATAAGAACCTGGAAATGAATACTAGTAAAGAACAGGGCATAGTGGCATATGCCTATAATCTTGGTAACCCAGGAGGCTGAGGCAGGAGAATTCCCAGTTTGAGGAAGTCTCAGCAATTTAGCAAGACCCTATCGCCCCCCACCCCTCAAAAAATTAAAAAAATAAAAGGACTGTGGTTATAGTTCAGTGGTAAAGTGTTCCTGGATTGAATCCCAGAGCCTCCAAAAAAGGAAAATTAGTAAAGAATAGACGTTGGTTGGAGTGGTACATCCCTATTCTTTACCTTTAGTTGATGCTTACCCTCCCTACATATCTCTTTAAAGAAATATCCAAAGCCATTTTCCTGGTTGCAAAGGAAAATTCATAACAACATCCTCTCTGTAGAAATAAGGATTGAAACAGGGCTTTCAAATTCCAGCAACTTCTTCAGCTAAAACCCTTATCTTGATTCTTTGTGCCTATAGAATCATGATTGTGATCACTGGTTTTCCAGAGACTGTTCTTCAAGAGAAAGAATATATTAACCAGCCAGTATTAGTTTCTACTTTGTGTGGCAACCATATTCCTCAGAAGTTAAAAACCCAGTGTTCTAACTTAAGCATCAGACTCCTGTAATTTCTTGGTGTAAATCAGTTCCCTCTCCTCCTCAATCAACCTGCGTTCCCTCTCCTCCTCAATCAACCTGCGTTTGCTGACACTCTTGAGCTTTTGGTTCTGCAAAGTTGCAAACCAGACCACTGTGAACAGTGGTGGCCATGCAGGTGTGCTACTCCCTGGCCATAGGTTACAAGAGAGTTCATCCAAACCGGGGCTCAAGAGAGTGAAGTGGGTGTTTTTTTCATGATTATGTCACAGCAACAAGCATTAGATAGGAATGTTCTAGATACTCTGCCTCTGAGGCTGCCTGATCAGTTAGATACTTCCTTTCAACAATTCCTCTAGTGTGTTTCTCTATAATATTCACACAGTGAAAAAGGGAAGAATTATTACTCTAGAGTCATAGCTCTCCTACTTGTCAGCAAGAATCAGATTAAAATTCACCAGAATGAACTACATCATGTTTTGGTCTGAGATTATAAATTACTGAGGAGACAATTTTAAACAAACATTCCAGCATTGAATATTTAATGCTACACACTCAATTTGTTTACCATAAATAAGACTTAATTTCTTGCTTAATGTGAGGTAGGGGGAGAGAGAATTAAAATAATCTAAATGATGCTTTTACCTCCGTACTCTTAAAGTTGACATTTGTGGTGTACACATATAAAATATTAATGATTAGCTTAATTGTAACAGATTCACACCAAATACATTTGAGATTCTGTTTCACTGAAAGCTAACTTGATAATGAGAAATGTTGGTTTTGTGGGCATTGATTTGATGCTTTTCCCAGAACATAAGCTGTAATGTGAACCAAACACTGTTAGTGAGTACAAAGACTCACAGTTAGAAAACTAGGTCTAGGGAAGTCTGCCCCAACAGACCAAAACTCATCATAGGCATAACTTTTTATACCTCTCTTGGAATGGCTGGAGACAGCGGGTACACATTTTATTCCAAATTTCCCAGTTTTGAAAATTTCTTGAGGCTGTCAGCTGATTACCAGTGTCATTTCCTCTCAATTTTGGCATAGACTTAGACTACATTTTCCAGCCCCCAAATAGTTAGATATGGCCATATCCCTGAGTTCTGGCCAATGGAATTTAAAGGAGAAATGATCTGTATTACTTCCAAACCTTGGGTGAAGTATGAGCCTTCATCTGTCATTGGATGTCAACATCTACAGTGACCTTTAGGCCACCAATTGAGGAAGTTAGGGCTGCCAGCAACTTGGATCCTTGAATGACTTCATGCAGAAGAACACCATAAATTCCAACCTAAAATGGACCCTTTTTGGACTGTTACTCAAGCAACAATGACTTACCTGGGCAATTTTCACTTCTCTTGCTGTCAACTTTCCTTATTCCAGTATTCTCCTAAGAATACCTCTCCTAAGAAAGGGGAGTACAGAAAGCAGGTGTAGGAGCTGTTCTGTGCTGGAGTGCTCCAGAAGATTCCATAGGACAATTCTACACAGAGAGCAGGGGATGGCCTACTGTGCTTGACTGTGCAAAACCTGGATCAGTGTTTACTTTTGGTGCTAAACCATCCTGTCATTCTTTCTTTGAGAGGCTTAATTGGAATCCAATGCAGGATAACCCAGGGTAGTCCACCCTTGAAGGGCAAATCACCCTTAGTTGAGAAACACTGGGGTTCAAGACTGATTTAGAGCATGTTACCTTT